CGGGCTGGACTCCGCTTCGTCCACGGTGAAAGCCGATCCGGCGATCCACAGCGTGAAGTTGATGTATTTCCTCAGCGACCAGCACAGATCAGCTCTAGGCATGACGAAGTGGATATCATCCTCTTTCTGAAAGCCAAACAAAGTAGTTTCGCTTTCACAACGAAACACTCGGCAACAACAATACTACAGCGAGAATCAAAGTTACGCCTTCTTTCTTTGCGTGAACATTTGGGCGGCGTTATGCAAATCTTCCCACATCGTGACGTAGACATGTGGGGGCGTGTTAGAACGAGCCATTTTAGGTAGGCGTGGTTGACTCTTAACTTTTATAAAGAATATCTCTTTGGATTTGAGACTTTAGTCTTTGCAACTTTACAGATCTTCTTTATGCACCAAGAGCTTGTAACACTCCAAAGAGAAAGGAAAAATTGAATTTGCATCATATGACTCCTTTAATTTCTTCAACCATCAAGCTTTTATACACTTTGAAGCGCAGCACTGTGTTGATTTACACGCAAGCAGCCCATGATACGATGTTTCAGCTGCAGTGAAACCGGCAGTGTTTGTATTAATTTGATTAAATCACAACCTTCACTATCACACTAAGCGATATTGCGATATGGATTTTATTTCGTTATATCATGCAGCCCTACTTAATTCCCAACTTGAACATTCTTTTAATTTGCTCATGATAGCGTTGTCATAAGCACGACTAAAAATCCAATTTTTGTGGTTTATATTGAATGGGGAGATTTGGATTTTTGACATTACAATGTGTCTGAAATACACTAAATTGTTGTATTGAACAAGAGCAGGGACAGTCCTGTTTTTCATCATAACTTTAAAACCTCTTTAAGTGTGAAAGAAAGTGTGGCCATTGGCCCAGTGCCTAATTATTCATGCCGTTCGTGTCTGGACTTGACGTGAGATCTGTTTTGTGTTTGTTTTTCTTCCTTAATTATTCTGCTTATGGAGTGTTTTCCGCCTCCCTTCCTGAGCTCTGATGACGGGTCACTCATCAGCCTGCACTTAAGGACGCAGTGTCCACTTTGTAGATCCCATTACATAAATTCTCAAATTTTGCCAAGACTGGCTTTTAAATTCTGTTGTTTGTAAATGTCAAGAATTTCCTTTAAGTTTCAGCTATTTAGGATCCCTGCAGTCATGGAAAACCTGGAAAAATTGGGGCATTTTTAAAGTTTCCAGGCCTAGAAACAATATGCACATTTTTTTGTCATTAGTTTTGCTTAAAATATTTCCTGTTGAGTACAGTCTATATAACATGAAAGTCATAGATTGATTGATCCAAAGTGCAAAACCCTGATTTATTTAATAGATCGACATCCCAGCCAGGAATTGCTCATAACTAATTTCTTTTGAATTACGGCATGATGACAAACACAGTTCTAAACACTTCCCCTCCCAATCTGCATGCAAATAGACACTTTTTATGGTTTCAGCACTGTGTAAAAATGATTATAATTAGATTTGAGAACAGGCCGATTCTGACAGAAGTCTGTGAGCCGCAGCTATTCAAGTGCAGTAATCTGTTCTCGAGGCTGTTAATGAAGTTACATTTTTAGAAGAGATGCGATGTCAGGCCTCTCATCTCCTCTCCTACCGTTTAATGAATGTTTATTGCTGCTTTTCAAGAAAGACATTCTTCCCGTTCTCTAACAGTTCCCTCAAACGTGCATGTGCAAGCGTATTTAACCCTGCTCTTTTTTTTTTTTT